TTACCTGTGTAAACATTTGTATAATTTTAACAGGGCACGTCTGACGTTACCTGTGTAAACATTTGTATAATTTTAACAGGGCACATCTGACGTTACCTGTGTAAACATTTGTATAATTTTAACAGGGCACGTCTGACGTTACCCGAGTTCCTGTTTGAAGTAGAAATAGCTGGAGAAGTAGGAGTCTTCACGCGTGACACAGTGCTACAGAAGAAGACACAGTTTGGACCGTTTGAAGCTAAGAAGACTACACACGAGTTCAATGATGAAAGTCTATTTATACTTAAGGTACGTATCAATTAATACAAGGATTGACGCTGTAAACTGTTTACCAAGAAATGTTCACCCTTCACATAAAATTACTATGTGTATTATGTTTTCTACCTGTATTTGCTCTAATGATAAATTAGCCCTTGTTACAGAGAGCGGAGGAGGCAAAATATAAACTGTGGCAAAACCTGCCTACTATAAATTATTCATGCCGAGCGATATGATGACAATTTACTATCACTCTACATGAGAGATTGTAGTGTACCAAAACCAATTTGTGTTAAAAAATTGAAGTGAATTATACTCTTTCATATATGTTAATACCACACATATATAGGAAAAAGCCTCTATTCAGATAATTTCAAATTCCATTAGTCTGAGGTGGTAACACAAAAACCAAATATTAAGATGAAGAACTATTTTTTCATTGCTTTACTTAGAGTAACTTTTATGCAACATTCTATCAGGATCTCGAGAGCTGGTTATCACTTTACTCCCAACGCTCCCCCAATCATACTTCAAATTATTTGTTGTAATTTTAACGAATTATTTTTATCTTAAAGGTAACAACGAAGGATGGTACGTGTATCAGCCTGGACACCACCAGTGAGAACGACTGTAACTGGATGTGTTTGGTCCGTGCTGCACTCACATATGAGCAACAAAACTGTATCGCCTACCAGTTGGGGACCAACCTGTACTACAGCACAACCAAGGACATAGCCCCCGGGTCAGAGCTCTGTGTGTGGTATGCTCCTGCCTACGCTCGTAGGATTGGCAAACCTGAGAAACCTGATGGTGTCAGTAAGGGTAGGTCACTCCGACATACTTACCTCATTATTTTAACTTCTGATGTAATTATAAGTTGACAGTTTTAACAGGAATCAAGCAGATTTGAGGACACTACTTGTTGAGCAGGTTGGAGTATTGACTATTTTAGAATGATGTTTTTCATTTTTCATGCTATAAATTTCAGAAATAATATATATTTTCAAACCAGTCTCTTGTTGGGTTCAGTGTATAATTCCTGTTCCAGTTACAACCTGCAAGTTTCCGGAATTATATTATGGGGGCATGCATATACTTCTGGTGTAAAAGATAATCAGTAGCAAAACATCTTTGTCAAAGTAAAACAGTAGTAAATTTGGACGAAAATGGCTGAAATTTCATATTCTTCAAGAAAGGAATATCTGCTGACTAGTACCATAGCCCTGTTGTTAGACAAACAGTCTGGACGCATACCAGTTCTTTTGGCATATTGTTTTGCCTCTTATTTTTTATGCATAACAGAAGTACACATGCCTTCTACATCACATGACAGGCACATCTAAAACCTGGTAAAATCTGGAGAGAAAAAGTATCTCAGAAACGACATATTAAAAAACCTGTAGAAATTAAAAGCGTCTATTTAGAGGATCAGACCTCTAAATAGATACTTAAAATATTTTTTACCGATAAAGTTGTGTTTTGGAATTGGAAAAGAAATCATAATCGATTATCAGAAGACCATTCATGAACGAATATTAATTATAATGGGATTGAACAAACTTTGGTAATTTCTTCTGAAACATGTACATGTGTAATGTCGAAGTATATAGTTAAGTGTTGGGATTTACAATGTATTTTTGCAATGTAAGATAAAGGGTTGTCAACTTATCCCCATTTTCATCACACTTCAGCTTCTTACTTTTAGTTTAAAACTATCAGAAATCCATCACTAGTCAATCTTATTAGTACCTCAAAACAAATCTGTTGTGTACCTGTAGCTCATAACCATAGTAACAATTTAGGTAGATGATAAAAAGAAATTTACAGAAACTGACATGAGATAATTTTAACCAGTTTATAACAATGTATGGAATAAATTTCACAATCAATTAATTGGAATCTGTTATGGCAATTGATTGATTTTGATCATAACCAAAAATTGGAAAAACACTTCTGTGTAAGATGTATAAGACTAAAGTAGGAGCAACCGTTAATAAATGTACTTCAAATCTTCTGTGTGAAATACTATAATAACTATTGTGTTTTACAGTTATGCTGGGTATGAAAGTAATATACCCCTCTGTGGAGGACCTGCCGGACGCTCCGCAGACTAGGCCACAGACTGATAACCTAACAGATGAAGAATCAGAGGTAATTCTATTAGTTTTATTTTCAAATTCACATATTTTGATTAATCTCCTTGAAGATTTATGGCCCTTTATTAAGGTAAAGGGCATTTTGGTTTTAGTCAAAACACTAAGTTGAAAAAGAGGAAAATAAGATAGATTTTGATTTAAACATGCATTTCATTCTTCATACATCAAAAACAAATAAACACAAGCCTGTCATCTGCTTTCACCCTTTAAACAAGTGATTACTTGTTCCTGATGCTTTCTGTTGTCTTGACAGAAATAAAATGTGATATTGAACTAAATCTATTATTTCCCATGGCCATAACCATAATTTGAATCATAGATAAATATCTAAAATAGACCATTAATACTTTGTGTTTGTTCTGGATTTAATTAATAATAGATTTATATCATCTTATCATCCACATTTACATTGTACCTTTGATTTGTTGTAGAGTTGTCCCCCTTGTAAAATGTGTTAGCTATTAACCTGGTATCTTATGCTGTTAGACATTTACATATATTCCTGATTTTCCGTGTACCTTTTAAAATGTCCTCAAATTATTAACCAAACGCAAAGTGCAATTCATACAGACAGCTTAAAGATTTCTGATCATGGCACTATTTGAGATGCTACATGTTAGCGAAAATATAATGTGTGAAAAGCTTGAAAAACTTCATTCTAAAAATTCTTAGGTCTTCATATAGCTAGGGAGTGACATTTTGCATGTGGATTGCTTGGATGAAACACTTTCAAGTGTTGAAAAATTAAAAAAATCTCAACCAATTTTAAAGATCACATGAGTAAAATAAATTCAAATCTTTCAACAAGGTCTGTAAGGTGTAGAATAAATATATTTGGCCTGCAGCACTAATGTTGGCTTGAAGCTTGCATTCTGTCAAGTTTAAATTTGACCGTGATTCACTTTTAAGGTCATAGATTTGAGACATGTGCCAACAAGTACAACACAGAGTAATAGTTGAGGAGTATAGCCTCTTGTTTTGTAAACAGTTTCTGTATCCTTTTCCTTCCATACATCCCCAAAATCTATATAAACAAAGTAGAGATTGTACTGTAGATTAGTTAATGTCTATATTAAAAACGTTAAGCTATAGAATTATTAAGTCTTCATTTAAAAGGTTTTGTTTAAGAATTTTCAGAGTTTGTATTAAAGATGTTTCAGTGTACATATATATGTTATCTGTGTCTGTATTGAAGAATTTTCACTGTAGAGTTAACATTTGAATAATAGTTACATTTAACCAACACCTCTGCATAGTGATTGATAAAGAGATTACAATAAAGTTGATAACTAGGAGCAATCATGGTTGAGAGTGGATTCCCAAAAATGTAATTGTAGGATTTGAAGTTTTTATATCTTCAAATATTTGAATCAATTTCCAAAAAATTGTATTAATAGTTCCACTGAATGATGTGATACTTTCTGTCACACTGTTTGATTTGTACTACAGTGCTGATATTACAACAAATGTCATAATTTAAATCATATCCTAGGAAAATTTGGGAAACTTGTATTTATCAAGATTAGAGTTGTTTATGGAAAAAATAACTTTGGTACTATAATTGTAGGGTCATTGTTTATTCCATAAATATTTAATTTTGTTTCTTTTGATTCCAGGTACCACAAGCCTTAAAGGTAGAGATTAAACCTAACTTCTTATGCAAACGATGTGGTGAAGGCTTCCATTCAGAATCAGATCTGGCATTACACCTTCGTAACCACATTATACCAAACTACTACTCAGTAATGAATGGGAAACAGCGAAAAAGAGGCAGACCAGCAAAAGCTCTGATGGTTAAGAAAAGAGGTAGAAAGCCAAAGAAAATTATGGTAGAAGCTAAAAGATTAAAATTAGACAGCCCTGAAGAGTGTGAGAGTGAGGCTGAGGCAGAGACTGTGGACGGCATGGAGTCAATGAAGGACGAGGGAGAACAAGAGGAAAGCAGTGATGAAGAATTCACACCAGTCATTCTTTCTACCTCTCCTGGAATGTTGGAGGGGGGCCGTCGCATTCAACCAAGACGGAGTCTGAAAGGTGTCCGCACATCAGGTTTTGAAGCAGATGAGAACTTTGTTTACATGAAAATAAAAACTGAGAAACCTGATGATGGTTACGATGTGTCGCCCTCTAAACCTAAAAATAAGAACATTCAGGGAAAAAATGTTATAGATGAAACTATTGCTGGCGAAACAGCAGTCATACCAAAACATGAGAAAGATGAAGATAAGTTGGAAGCCAAGGTTACTCCTGTTAAAAGGAAAAGAGGCCGTCCTCCAAAGGTCAAACGTACAGAACATTCAGAGGTCAAAAACTCTCACGAAACACCTTGTCAAACTCACGATCAGAATCTAAACTTCAATGCAGATCTTGCTGGCACAAACGACACACAACAAGGCTTGATAGAGAAATCAAAAACATCTACAGGAAAAACTGTTGAGCAAAGAAAAGATGACGATGGAAAGACTCTATTTAAAGCAGATGCTAATGAAAAGGATGTAGATTTGAAGGAAAAAGAAGACGAAAAATGTGTCACACCTGCAAATGTTGCTGATGAAAAAACAGTCTCTGTGATTGAAGGTAGTAAGGATAGTTGTATATCGCAGGTTAAGGAAAAAAATGAAAATCAGCCTTGTCAGGTTGGTTCCGGAGACCAGGATGATTCAATTGCTTCAACAAAAAGTGTACAAGAACTGGAGAATGGAATTCATCAGATTGTTGGCAAGTCAAAGGAAGAGGGTAACTTGTCAACATATACTGAAACATTGGAAGTAAACTGTATCACTGAGAAACAATCAACTAGTAAAACAATGGCAGAAGAACCTTCGTCAGATTTGATTGAACCAATGGAGGAACATGTCGAGGATACCGATTCCCATGTTGATTTAGAATCCAGCCAGGCAGGAGAACACAGCTCGTCCAACGTTAACGCTGTTGGTATACATATGCCTTCTGATGAATCTATTGCAAATATGGCTGTCGATGATGATCTACAAAACATTCTGGACCAGTTGGACAAGACTGATGGAAATGTGCAAAGAAGCATGGATAAGGAAACTGATGTGGCTGAAAAACGGAATGAGTTATCCGACAAACCTGAATTAATGGAAAATAAAGAAGAAGCGACTAAGCGAGAGAAAGAAGCAGCAGCAGACAAAGATACACAAACCCCTGACGACGATGTTGACGAGAGATCAATTGATGACAACGATGACAGTAGCAATTCTTTCATTAAAACTGATAGCCAAGATGAAGACAAAAACGATGACACAACGCTACCGTTCCATAACTATGTGGCAAAACTAGTGAAGCAAACAGATGAGTTGGAGGAGGAAAATCATGCCGAATTCGTGAATGATGAAGTAGCAAAATTTTTATTAACTGATAATTTTGTAGATGAGGTTGATAGCAAAGACGATTATACAAAGTATATGAAAATTGAAGATACCTCCGATGGAAAACATTTCATCTGTACACTGTGTGAAAAGAAATTTCTACACGAGAAGTATCTTCGACTTCACTTCCCTGCACACACAGGGAAATTTAAGTGTAGAAAGTGTGGCGCCAAATTCTGTAGGAATGATACATTGAAGCGTCACAATTGCTCGAATGCCAACAAAGGTACAAAGCCACACGAAGGGCCTACACAATCCGTCTCTCCCTCGTTATCAAAATGTGATATTTGTGACCAGCAGTTCACCAATGAGAAGTACTTGTTCAGACACATGGCCATTCATACGAATATATTCCAGTGCTTGAACTGCCATAAGTCGTTTTCCCGGAAGGATTCTCTCCAGAGACATATACTGAAGTGCTGTCCGGAAGACGCAGAACAATACCAGGTGTTCTTTTGTAGAAAATGTCAGAAAACATTCGCCACCAAGCTCGGTCGTGATAACCACGAGACCCACTGCAAACAGAAGATGTGCGAGCAGTGTCAGAGCGTATTCGCGTCCGAGAACCTGTTCCTCGCACATAAATGTCAATCCAAGAAGACTGAAACTCGTCGAAATGTTCCCGTCAAATACAACTGTAGTCAATGTCCAAAATCGTTCCGTAATCTGAACTACCTCAAACAGCACCTGCAGATCCATGAAGGTGGGTTTATCTGCCAATTATGTGGACGGAAGTTAAAGACCAAGGAGGAGCAAGATGACCACGAGAGGATGTGCATGGCACTGTCTGTCATCCAGAATGAGGGCAAAACTAAGTGCATGTCCTGTGACTTATTCTTCACCGACATCAGATCGTACAAGGAGCATTATCATTCCCATACTCACCCTTACCAGTGTTCAAAGTGTCAAAAACGCTTTGTAAAAATAGGAAGTCTACACAGCCACGTTTGTACTTTGGACGATGACAATAATCTGCTCTTTTCATGTAATATTTGTCATAAGGATTTTCGCAATGAACGTTTATTAATTCGACACAGGGAAATGCACCAGGAACATAGATTTAAGTGTCAACATTGCGATAAAAAGTTCTTCCGTAGAGATTACTATTTGAAGCATGTCTGTAAGGACGCCGATGGTACCGAAATGGATGTAGATAGAAATGCCGAGATTCGCGCCCAGCAAGATAAACTAGTTTGTCATATCTGTGGTAAGAACTTTGTCAGTTCAAGTAATCTCAACAAACATATGAAAGTACATGGAGAGAAAACATGTATTTGCCACATATGTAGCAAGAGGTTTCACTACGTCGAGTATCTTCGTGTTCATTTGGAGGGATTCCACAACAAAAAGCACCAATTCCAGTGTTCAGAATGCGGCAAGATTTTGACATCCAAGCCTGGTCTTACATCTCACGTTAAACAGTTTCATTCGGACGAGAAAGAGGCACATCCCTGTCCTACATGTGGCAAGATTTTCAGTCAGAAGGGCAATATGAAAACGCACATGTACTCGCATACAAAAGAACGAGGTTTCCAGTGTACTTTCTGTACCAAGGCTTTCAAATATCCGGATCAGCTGAACAGACACAAGCTCATACATACGATGCAGAACAAGCTTGAGTGCGATCACTGTGACAAGAAGTTTACTAAGCTGTACGACCTGAAGAAGCACTTCGAGCTGTTCCACAGTGGTATGATGTATGTGTGTGAGGTGTGCGGTGCTCGTACTGGACACAGACACACCATGGTAAGGCATTACAAAAGGAAACATCCCGAGACCGCCGAACAGGCGAAGGAGCCGTCTTACCTCGACTCGCTGTTCAAACACATTGATAAAGAACCAGACGTCACCACTGAGGAGATCATTGAGGATCATTTAATAGCGGATGGAATACATGTTGATAATGTCTCAAACTTGATTTGTTCAGAAGAGTTCGTACCACAGACAGCTGCAGAAGTGCTACAGAGCCTGTCGAACACTGGTGTGGCAAACGATCAACCTATTATCGTGGCTGACGGCACCACTGTTATTCAGAACGCTGACGGCACAATCAGTATGCCGGGCCAGGAAGGCACTTTCAGCATACAGAACATTCAACAGGCCGTGGAGGGACCGGACGGTCAGTCCACAGTGGTAATACTCCAATTTGTGAGTCAACAGGAGCAGGATGGTGTGACCGAAACTCATCATCAGGAGGTTCAAGTGCAGGAGCTCGACACACAGGTCATAACGGCTGGTGCTGTAGAGGCTACGGGCGAGGTGGAGACCTACATACAATCTTATGTTGTTAGTGACTAGCTAAAGAAATCTGGTATATAAAGTAACAGACGCAAACGAAGGGTGTATAATATGACGTCATTCATTTGTATATGAACGAGCAGCTAAAAGCAGTACAATAAATTTGTGTGGATATAGGGCCTATGACCTTTCAGAAATAGCAATGGTACCTCGTTACAGAAAGGCCACGTCATTCATTTATCGAAAATATACTGTTTCTTTACTTATGGATACATCATACACATATTTTTTTATAAAAAAAACATTCCGTGAAATTGACATTTTAATTTGATTTATAACTAAATTTAATTTTTTTTTTTATAAAAAAAATAGTTAATCAATGTTGTCACGGAGATATGATAAAATCAGTACACGGAATAGTTTTCGGAAATTCGGGGTCAGATATGTCCAAGGTGGATAGTTGCTGCTCTTAATAAAAGGGTAATATGTATTCAATATTGCTAGCATGTGTAATTTTTCATAAAATACCGAGACAAAAAATGGCAAAAACTGATATGAGCAATGCAATGTTATTATATTATTCCAGAATGTTGATCGATTATAGAATTGATGTTGTTTCCTATATAGCTATATGGACAGTTTGCATTACGGTTGTTGGAAAACTTCAGTTTAAGAACTTTCCACTAATATGTCAGACATAGATATTATGTTCTGTTATACTTTAGCATGGCAATTTCAATGTTTCAGAAATATATACGTATGTACAGATGTCTCTTTAGGCGAGTTTATATGCGTTGTAATATTCTGTATACCGGGGAAAATATCGCCCAGTCAAATTTTCACCCTTCACTGTTTGAAACCGTGTTCGTGTAGTGTTATTTTGGCCCATCACATTTTATTACTATATATAGTACGCTGTTTACTTATTTTCACTGTCGTGATGAATTCGCCCTCAGTGCAGAGGGCGAAAATGACAAAAGTTGAACTGCGGCGAACATTTCCAAGTATACAGTATTTCATCTGGTTGCTTTTTAAATTCACAGGGACAGGTATGATAATTAACCCTGTTAAAATATAATGGACATAGAAATACTATTTAATTGAAAGCGTTTATGAAATATTATTGGTTAAAGTCTATAACCGTTTCGATAAAACGTGACTTAAACATTTACTAAGTGTTTGATTTTTCAATACCCATCAAAGAAAACCTGGTCAGTGTACATCGTGTCTAAAGTTCGGTTAACTTTTTTTACCAAAGTTGTTTTGCACAGTAAAAATCAGTTTTGTAAATGATTTTGGTTTCAGTCTATAATGGGTTTTTTATCACACAAGTCGCGTATGTGTTCTGTATAATATTACAAATCGGTTCCTCGTAGTTGGTTAGTTTCATCTGAATGGTTGATTTAAAGCTATTCACAACGTTATCTGCGCCATTACCGACTTCTCTTGATAGTTTTAGAAATTGACAACGAACGATATTTTTATTTTTGTTGTGTAAGTAAATTTGTTAGCTTGAAGAAAAAGTATTATTATGCTTATTTTTTTCGGCACTTGAACCTGCAACTCTTTAAAGGAAACAGTTTGTGGATCGGTTTAGACAATTTTTATTGTTACAATTGTATTTTTTTCTAATAATCCTTCGATATTTATATATGACTTAAGATTTATTTCTTACCCAGTGCTTGAACATCAAATTTATTTTCCCAATTTCGAATATCAAATAACCTCACAAAACTAGAGAATGTGGCTCAATACTATGCTTTGGAAAAGGTATTCTTCTGTCGTTTTAATGTCGTCACCAACTCGGGGAACAAACACGGGTTGTCCGTTAGGTTTGTTCACAGTGGAGTAATATTTAAATTTATTTTTCATTTAAATCCGTGCTCGTTTCGTTGGTGTGATTGTTTTGCCTGTGGGAAATATATAATTAAGCGTTTTCACAACGATGTCTGGCTACCGAGCAGCATGTATTTCCTATGTTGATAGCATGTAAAGAGGGGTTTTGTCAGTCAGACTCCGTTATTCAATCCCTCCCCTTGTGTTCCTTTCACTGCTTTTCATTCAATGCAAGGATCCCTGCGATAAATTGGTTCTCTTTAAGCATACATTTCAGGCCCCAGTTGCTCAAAGATTGGTTAACTTTAAACGGTGGTTAATAAAAAGATCAAATTGTTTAGTAAGACGAATCCTCATAATACACTAATAAAATCTGTTTGAACAAATCTGTAGCAGTGAAATAATAACGGGTGTTCTTGATTTTCTTTTGATCACATTTAAAACAAATCCCTAACCAATATTCATCTCTAACCAAGCTTTCAACTACCATGGCCAGATCTCTAGAAATGTTTCTGTTACTTATTTTCTCACTATACACGAAGTGAAATACGGTGTGAAAGATTTCTGGTACTGAAAGACATCATACATGGACTTGCCATAAAGTATGAAATTATTTATGACATGTTTGTATAAAATATTAATATTTAACCGAAAACAAATATATTGGAAGAATGAAAGACTATCCTTCGTCCTGATTAAGACAATTGAAGAAACTAAGCCTCATGCTGAAAATGATCCAGGCTGCTTTTGCATACCCCAGTTGAAACAGTCAGGGTGGTACAGAAATATCCCGTGATAAACGAACACACATGGGCGGACGAAATCAATAAAGTTACAAATGCACAGTGTCGCAGATGTTTCCAAAACAAAAAAAAACCATTAATACCATCTGTTTATTTTCATTTGTGTGAATATTTTTTTTAATTTCGAAAAATATTTGAATCGACTTTTTGTTATGTCAAAATATCGAAACCTTACGGTTGCCAGCATTTCGAATTTGGCAAGGCATGACGAGAACTTTCGAATTTCTGGGTATCATCTTCCGTTCCTATCTCTGTCTAATTTTCACTGAAGATTATGGTAAGTGTACCACATCACGAATTACAATAGGACTCCAATAGGACTCTGGTTTAGAGTAACATCCGCTGTCGAGTTGTGCATCTTTCAATGCTAATTTGTATTTGTATACTAGACTTTTCGACCCTGTAATTGTACTCACACTTTTGGTGATAATTGCATATAATTCCTCGAGGGCAACATTGGTAAAATGTAGGCTTGGCAGTTTTTAATTCTGCGTTTGAATTTCAAACAGTTATAATTTTGTGTTTTATAGAGGTTACACAACGAGTGATTGTTGAATATGGTATTTATTTCACTCGAGTTAGTTAATTTTCAAAAGTTACAAAAGACACGAGCTTTAGCGAGTGTCTTTCTGTAACTTTTGAAAATTAACTAACGAGAGTGAAATACATACCATACTCAACAACCACGAGTCATGTGATCTGTTTCACACATGTGTTTGTTGACAAGGCTGGCGTAGTGATATGACCAATATGTAAAAAGTCACTCATTAATATTCAAAAATGACTTTATTTTTACAAACTTAATTATTGTCAAAATTAATGTTTCGGCAACAACTTCGTGAAAGAATAAAATAGATAAATGACTTTAAATATTGAGAGTAGCAGTATTGCATTATTTTTTATAAATTAACCACGGACTATATGCGCGTAAGCATATCGTACGAAGTCTGCCTCCCGCCATGTGATGAACTGTTGTAGACGAACTTATCGCTGTCAGTATCCAAAACCATAGGCCTACGTTTCTTCGTGACGGTTCTATGGTTGACGTTTATAGTGAAAGTTCAGCCATAGTCAGACCGTCTAAATAGCGATAACGGGACGTTGGGAGAACGAAATATTTCCCGACACTGACACTGTGATAGATCTTGTTTTGGTTTCACGACCTGGACACGCGACGGTGTGACGTTGAAACGATATCGAGCGTCTGTAGCAATTTTGCCTGAAACTAGCGGTCAAATCTTTAAGTATCATCTTTTAATAATGCATTAATAACCCCCCTTTCCTCATAACCTCACAAAGTCACCAACATTTGTCGGATGTTGACAGCCGACGACGTAAACAAAACAGCAAGTGGCAAAAAGCACGTGGAAAAAGTCTTCCCGGTCAAAGTTCGTATTCTCGACCAATCAAAACTCTTGAAGGTCATATACCACGTGTGGTATATAACTCGTATTTATCTAACAGTCTGCGTGTGTTTATACAATGATCTGAGAGTGGAATAACACAGCGTATTGTGGTAGAAATATATATATGAAACACTTCGCTTAAAAGGGGCTTGAACAAATATTTCACAATGGGAACAGTGATAATGATATAGATGAGCGTTTTAGTACCTTTTACCTGAACCGGTTACGCAAAAGCTTCCGACGGCTTTATAATATCAGTGACTTTCCGATTCGTCAAATCAGAGGATGTTTCAGTTTGGAACCAAACTGACTGACAATGTTCCGCAGTAATGTTATGGTGTTCTCGACACGTGTATTTCCTACGTTCTTATATTTATGATTTTACCATTAATTATTTGCAATTGCAATCTTTGTTATTTTGTATTATATTGTTCCTTTGATTATGAAGTTCCTGTGTACATGGTTTGCAGTTGAATAAAATGAATATTTTTAAAATCAACTTATTACACTGTTTTCCCTGATCAACACGGTTACCGTTATATGTATGCTTTATATCAGGAAAGAAAAAGAACAGAAAAAATGTACTCAACTGTATGATAGAACAAACACAAGCAGTTAAAGGTTACAATCATGCTTAGTACGGATAAATTTATTGAATAACTCTGAGGTATTGGAAAGCATTTTGTGAAAGACATGTCCTGCCGTGTCGTTGAATAACTAGAACTGAAATATTAGGCAAATGTCGCTCCAATTCCCAATATTTTGGCCCACGGAAGAAGCAATAATGAGGTAACTGGAATCCATCGTTGACTTTCGCCCCTGAAGAAGGCCAGGACGAAATATTGGGAAATAGAGTGACATTGGTTTTGATTATGTATCCTTTCCTCTACTGAAATCAACTGTTGTTCGTTACTGAATATTTTCCTATAGAACATGTACAGAGATCCTCTTCGCGTTTAACCTTACCGTCGAGTGTTAAAAATATGGACACTTGTGACTATAATGAATAATGAAGAAATTAGACGATCTATGTTTGAAGTTGTGAATCATCTGTTCAAGGAGCACTCGCGTACATACTGCCCTAACCGAAACAGTCCGATACTGACTGTAAGACAGAAAGATGCTCCGATTGCATGAAACTATTAAACAAGTTCTGTTATTTTAACAAGATAACTAACATGAAAATAATACCATTTGTTTGTGAAAAATGCTCTGGGATGAACAATCTTTGTACAAAGAAAAATTACTCATGGTTTTCTTGCGTTGAAAACCAGATTGATGCTAACGAATTGAGCCGTCATATACATTGAAAATAAGCTCAGTGACTCATACTTACGATGAAAAAGAATCAACTATATAGTTCTATTTAAAAATGGGTGAAAAGCAAATTCAACTAAGATGGGAAAATGTTGGGTATTTACCTAACTTAAATGTGGAGTCAAGGTTAATTCAATATATTTAAGGGCTAACAGAAGCTGGTTTCAGATAAGTTAACATCTACCTGGTAATGCATCTCCTTAAAGAAAACATGCTGCTTGGTATTTCATTTATATTTAAGGGAAACATACCATATTTTTAGGTAAGTATTTCATGTTTTTTAAAGTTCAGAAGTCCATCACATGTTGTGTGATGCTTTCAAAGTCGAGTGCTGAACTTGAAAACTCTATCCGAAGATAGAGATTTCTCTGCTTATTCCACACAAACGAGGTTGCTAATTTTTCTCTCACCCTTTCCTACCATACCGTAAAAAATAATTTGTACTGTAATTGTGAATCCAATAAAAATCGGGCCATTATCATATGCGTATAAAAGGTTTTGTGACAAAATTCATGGCGCTATCCTGGTTACTCTGCATGAAGTGATGGCGCAATGGGGACGTTTTCAGATTAATTGATGTCTTTCTCTAGGAAAAACAGTAAAATATGCACATGAAGACTATTACCTGTATGAAAACTCAACGTGTCGTAAAAGGTCAGATGCAAAAAATAATAATAATGATAACAGCGATATCTGTAATAATTTATTGAGCTTTAATCAAAAAGAGCATATATATTGATAAGCCAATCTTCTTATCGACGATAACAATGCTGACGAAGATGACAACGGATGATAACGACGATGGTCATGATGTTTTCAGGTTCATTATACAAAATATATCACTGAAATAAAACTGGAAAAACGCACGTATCATCACAACAGCCAAAACAGGTGACTACAGTTTCGTATTTAAATTGATATATGTGCTTATCCTAAGGAACGGTATATGGTTATAAATGTGTCCTGTGAACATGCATCGACCGTCATACAAAATATCGTTTTCAATGACAAAACCACGTATAGTCTCTTTTCGTGTAAAAACAGCGAGTTTATCAATACAGAGGGCTGGTGAAAAGTTTTACTGGTTGGTATATTGAACACTGGTGGGCTATTTCTACATTTTCGATTATGTGGGTTCATGGTTGATGGAATATCTGACTTTGTTCGATGTAGATAAAATATCTCTGGTTGTTCAATAAGGAAGCTAATAAAGTGTCTGCAGTGAATACCATTGCGTTAATGAAGCCTGGGTGACTAAATTGGTAAAAATATTTTAAAGTAACGCATGGTGTGCTCCTCAGAGACAGCTATGTCATCTGAATAATGAACCAAAACATTTAGCTGCACATCTGCTTTTGTTCGATGGAGTTAAATCGAGGGCTGAGGAAATATCAGTATCACATATTTCTTCATGATCTTGCATATATCTTGTGAGACGTGTTATTAATCTAGTCAAGAGTTTTTCAAGTGACTTTTTGGCTAACAAACGTCTCCCCTGATTTTACATTAGTATGAATGTGGTCTTGGGATTGGTCAAATATCTCTTCCACTGAAAGTTGTTTGTCGGTCAGACTGCCGTGGTGTCGGAGATACCGACAGCCCTCTAGTTCCTTGTAATACTTGTCATCGAGCGAGTGCATCATATCCGTAACGATCTCGTTTTCGACCTGTTCCAGTTCCCTCCGATGCTGATAGGTGGTGGTCATGTCGGCACGTAACTCCGATATGGACTTTGGTTTCCGCTTTCCTAGCTCGCGTTTAACTCTGCGCAGATGCATGTCGATTTCTTCCGTATCAAACGTTTCAGGTACCTTGTTAGAACCCGTCAAGTTTCCACGAGACGAATTTAAACTAGACGCTGAACTTGAATTAGACGTCTCACTTTTTAACTTAATGATAGGTTTCACGTGCACAAGAGTTGCAGGAAGTGACATACGACGCCCCCTAGGATTAATTCTACTCAAGGCAGAACATGTCTCGCAATTATGAATTCCTCTTGTTGATGTGATATGTGAACCAACGCAGTGGGCGAGCTCGTCTTCTGACTTTTCTCTGTGATGTGAAATATCTTTGATTTTTCGCCTCAATGACTGAACAGATTCTGCTTTTCCGAAACTTGCTGCGCGAGAACGAGGCTCGTCGTTGTATTGCACTGCATCGAAAGAGTTCAGATAGTCTTTGTTGCCCCTTCTCTGTAGATAGATGGGCGTGGAGTGTGATAGTATGGTCATATTTATCCCGCTCTTTTTGTGTTCAATAACGGATATTCGATCCTCCAGGCTCGCGTTCAGCTTCTGTAACTCCATTGATAGTTTCATAGAATCGATACTGTTCTTTCTCGATAGAGTCGCCATGTTTATCTGAAAATATAAAGTAGAAAAAGTATTGATGGTTTAGAGTGAATGTACAACGTTCCGCTGACGTAGCTACAATGGATCTGAAATAATTAAAAGTTTCATTTATTTCCTTTGTTGAATGTAAGAAAGTCACTGGAATTTAATAGACGATTATGCAATACATGAAAAATAACTACTTTGTATTATATTTGCTTGTACACGAATCATGTGGACAAATTATTTAACTAGTAAGACAACCGTACAATCGAATTTAAAAAGAAATTAACCGATTATGATAAAGTTATCCCGAATCTCTGAGTTTGTGGTTCTGTAAATTGTCGTTTATATTCACCAGGGGAGCTGTAATAACTGTAAACATCACACATGAGTTGAGTAATTGAGATATCGATACATCGACTTGTAAGTAGATATCATATTGGCATATCTTTATGGGCGTCATTTAACAGAACTAATGTGACACGTCTAATCAATCGACCCTGAGGATAGTGTCCTGTGACTCTGATTTTGAATGTGATCCAAATAATTGTCAGTTATTTCGCCGTTGTTTACTACCCCGTTTTAGACGTCAACATAAACACGTGTCATGATAGGATGTAAACAAGTTGTGTTTACATGAAATCTTTACCGTTTTCGTCAGAGTAAAGCGGATCAAAATCATACTGAAGGAAGCGTTTTAAAAGATTGATTTGAAGTTGTTTGGGACCAGTTGTTTGGGACCAGTTTAAACAGCATTGTATTCAGGTCACTCTATAGTCTATCTGCAGGCCGGTTTCGTGTATATTCCATTAATATGCTACACCTCCGATACTGATTTAAATATTGTTTAACAAAAGCCACATATTTTGGTTTTAACTCAATCAAAAGTTCTAGTTGACGGCAAATATTCAATACCAAAAAACAAGAATTATATAATATACTGTTAACTTTTACGATTTATTTTTCCATTCTTAATCATTTTAAGTGCAAAAATATATTTATGGTATAAGCTATATAATGTTAAACGTAACTTCAATTCCACCTGCATTTGGGTTTTTTTTGTTCCCTTCGACTTTTCGTATGATGTCTTATTCAAAGTGACATAATGTCATAGAATTTTGAGGATAACATATCCCATAATACAGTCTGTATGTCGTATATGTTTAGATCACACGAAAGATACACTGTAGGCAAAAAAACCATCAGTGTCGAAAGAAACGCTTCTATGACAATAGAGCAAACTAGGTCACCGACGACGCAAGATCATTTCTTCAACATCTACAATTAAGCTAGCTGCGAGAACCGTAGTTTCTAGGCCCGATCTTTTTTTTTTTATTGTTATCGGACCATAGATCCGATAACGATAAAAAAATCGGCCTAGAAGCTACGGTTCCCGCGGCTACAATTCAGCTAAATTGACGTTACGACAATATCTATAGACATATAAACAATCTGCCAAGGATTTGAAAAAAAAAGTTTGATATTAACTATACGTGTATTCATTTCATTTTTTCAATTAAACATGATGCACAGAAAAAAGTTAACAGATCTAGCAAAATAGACACTTAGAAAATAGGAAAAATTGACTGTGTCAATATGTTGTAAGGTCTACAGTGTGGTTGTTGGATTACAATAACAGCGATATTGTTGCATGCTTCAAACTGATCTGTTTGTTATTAACCGGAGGTCGTAATTACAACAAGGAACTGAAATGAATTCAGTGTTTTCCCTTTCAAACGCTTTCTGATACATATCTCACCGTACTGTTTGTAATAAGGTACATAAAAAGATAACCACATGTTGATGAAAGACTAATGACAAGCCGTTATAGCATTCCATAACAATGTAACACCGAAGAGGGATGTGTTAACTGTTTACGGTACGGTTATAAAAGTATCCCGTGTTTATGTGACCATAATGAGCGCAGAAAGCAGAAAAGCATGACAAATATTCCCTATTTGGTAGCATACGCAAGGAACTGGCAGATTTTGGCATTTAAAGACTTCCTCTAAATGACATTTTTTAGCTCACCTGCCCTCTCGGCATTTTGTTTAAATGTATATTGCCTCTGACAATTTACCTTTTTTCAACTCTTTACAATTTTCTTAGGATATTGAAAAAAATGTTTGCACCTATAACTATTTCAGAACCAAGAAATGATAAATTAAATACCTACTTGCTAGGTTTCCCGTCGCTTATGTAACGGAGCTGGTATTTCCTGTCTACTTCTATTTTTGAAAATTAAATAAAGCAAGATATTAAAAGAAGTGTTCTCTTCTTGTAAATGGGTGTTCCACCAGACTTTTCCAGGTTGTTTATGCGCCCGCTTGTGGCAGACATCTGCTATATACTCACGCCCCAGAATAACAGTATATAATTGAAAGCTTCATTAATCAAATCTCATTATATTTTGGTTTTTCCCAAACTCGATCCAAGATACAAAACGGTTATGCTTTTACTTGAAAGCAGGCATTAAAGACTTGATCGTATATTTTTCTTCACTCTAATTGAAAAATCTTTCAAAAATAAACTGTGATTGAATTGTTAATCCAAGTGACGTTAAGCTGCAAATGCTTTATATTACCGAGATACATTTTGTGTGTATTAACCCCGCTAAAACCCTGCATTGTCTCGGACTGAATGCCGTATCCAGACGTGCGACCGATCGATCAAATATTCATTCATCGATACATCGGAGTTTAAAAAATCTATATTAAGTAACAAAAACATTTAATTATCTTTATCTAAGATGTTTGTATTGTTTAAAGGTTATAATGAGTCAGGGTTAAAAGTTAAAGTTCACGTTAGGGTTCGTACAATACAGATACCACTGAGTGGATTATGTTACATTTGTCTTTCTGAGGTTGTTTTTATAATTATGCATATAATGAAGCGACAACCGTGGATTTTACGTACATTTTATCGACATTAAGTCCTTGTGAGACTGGCAAGTTTTGTACAAGTGATAGCGCAATAACGGGGGCGATTTGATTTTTTACATTATAGATATATTAATATGAAAGGAGAAGAAAAATCAACCTTTCAGTTTTCAAGTGTTCAATTACAAGTTTCATGAAGCAAAGGAAGGAAACTTTCATGTACATTCTGATTTGGAATATGGTTGAACTTAGAAAGATACTGAGAGCCTAGCTATAACACCATCAGTTAACTTAGGAAGATACTTAGAGCCGAGCTATAACACCATAAGTTAACTAAGGAGGATACTTAGAGCCTAGCTATAACACCATAAGTTAACTTAGGAGGATACTAATAGCCGAGTTATAACACCATCAGTTAACGTAGGAGGATACTTAGAGCCTAGCTATAACACCATCAGTTAACTAAGGAAGATACTTAGAGCCGAGTTATAACACCAGCAGTTAACTTAGGAAGATACTTACATCCTAGCTATGACACCATCAGTTAACTTAGGAGGATACTTGGAGCCGAGTTATAACACCATCAGTTAACTTAGGAGGATACTTGGAGCCGAGTTATAACACCATCAGTTAACGTAGCAGGATACTTAGAGCCTAGCTATAACACCATCAGTGAACTTAGGAGGATACTTAGAGCCGAGGTATAACACCATCAGGTAACTTAGGAGGATACTTAGAGCCGAGTTATAACACCAGCAGTTAACTTAGGAAGATACTTACATCCTAGCTATAACACCATCAGTTATCTTAGGAGGATACTTAGAGCCGAGTTATAAAACCATCAGTTAACTTAGGAGGATACTTAAAGCCGAGTTATAAGACCATCAGTTAACTTAGGAAGATACTTACATCCTAGCTATGACACCATCAGTTAACTTAGGAGGATACTTAAAGCCGAGTTATAAGACCATCAGTTAACTTAGGAAGATACTTAGAGCGGAGTTATAACACCATCAGTTAACTTAGGAACATACTTAGAGCCGAGCTATAACACCATAAGTGAGCTAAGGAGGATACTTAGAGCCTAGCTATAACACCATAAGTTAACTTAGGAGGATACTAATAGCCGAGTTATAACACCATCAGTTAACTTATGAGGATACTTAGAGCCGAGTTATAACACCAGCAGTTAACTTAGGAAGATACTTACATCCTAGCTATAACACCATCAGTTATCTTAGGAGGATACTTAGAGCCGAGTTATAACACCATCAGTTAACGTAGCAGGATACTTAGAGCCTAGCTATAACACCATAAGTTAACTTAGGAGGATACTTAGAGCCTAGCTATAACACCATAAGTTAACTTAGGAGGATACTTAGAGCCTAGATAAAACACCATAAGTTAACTTAGGAGGATACTTAGAGCCTAGATAAAACACCATAAGTTAACTTAGGAGGATACTTAGAGCCGAGTTATAACACCAGCAGTTAACTTAGGAAGATACTTACATCCTAGCTATGACACCATCAGTTAACTTAGGAGGATACTTAGAGCCTAGCTATAACACCATCAGTTAACTTAGGAAGATACTTATACGTATATATGTAGGATTCCATAACATAATGCATTATTCTATTTTACATATGCGTTTAGTCCCTTTACAACGTTCAAAATCAGAATTACCCAAACATATAAGAAGATATATATATACTCATTGCCTTTCACCGTGTCTTGAAATTCCCGCTGTAGTTGATAGTTGTATTTGGAAGTACAATTAGAACATACTGGACGAGAGGTGATTCAAAAATCATTTCAATCCAGCTATTATAGCATTTGCTTTTGGTTGAAATGTTTGGATGCAGTGAATTTTAAATATTTATAGGAAATGATAGAGGTACATTTGTACCTGATAAACGGTGGTTATTAGCTTCGAAGCACTTCTTATCTAGGATATAACTGAATTGTATCTATCCCTTTGCTGACAAATTTGACTTCCATGCAATGCCGCGTAACAATCGTCGTAACTGATCGTACGGAAAGGCGAATTTGTGCCATGAGAATGAATAATTCCTCAATAATTTTAAGAAGTTTTCAAGTATAGTATTTTTTAAGTTATTTCTATATAAATATATAGGCCCTAGACAA